AGGATAGTATAAGCTATCCACAACAAAATAATAGGTAAACTACCTACAAGAAATACAAGAAAAACAAGAAAGAGACAAGATAGATATTAGATTAATGAAATCTAATTAAAACGAAATGGTCTCGAGCGACCTGTGGTCCTGAAAAGGTCCATAATGAGATGTTTTGGGTTAAGAAACCCAGACAATAAGACCGCGAGTGGTCAGCTATAATGAAATACGCAGGTTATAAAACCCGTCCGTCCGTGTGTGTATAAGAAAAACAAAATTAAAAAAAAAATAAAAAGAAAACGATGCCCCGACGCCCAAGGAATCAGCTACGATTCAAGAGTCTGCGCTGGCTCTGCCCCCTTTTCAGGAGACAGAGTTTGCTCGGCCAAACTCTCAATCGTAGAGAGATCCAGCTCCATAGGAACAGATCCCCCTACCCGACTGCTGGTACCTTCGTCCGCCGATCCCTTCTCTACTTCATTGAGGCCTTCGAAAGCCTCAGTAGCAGAATCCGGAGGTGGCGAGGACTCGACCAGGTGACCGTTTTCGTCAATATGTGCCGTTGATTCCCCAGAATGGATGCTGCGCAGCAGCTCGATCCATTCACCAGGAGTCCGATTATGTAAGTCTAGTCCACTCAAATTGAATGGACTAGGCCAACGGAATAGAGTGGCCATAAGGGTCCACTCATTTAAATTGATCGCCCGACGATTGGGCTCGGCGGCCTTGAGTGCTTCCAGTACAACAATGGGGTCCTCTCCGGCATTCTGCAGATCCAAGATGGATCGCAAGAAGAGGTCCCGCGTGGTGTCGAAAAGAGACCCGAGCTGTTTCAATTGGTCATTCAAGTCGGTGGCTCGTCGTAATGAGTTTGCTAGATCTAAATAGAATCAAACGAATTAAATTAAACGAATAAAATCAAATAGAATACAGGAAACTTACTATGCGTACTGCTAGTCGAAGCCTTATGGAGCGCATTGAGCGCGTCCATAGCCAGCTCCGCATCCAAGGATCCCAAGCACTTCAAACTCCATGAGGAGCAGGCTTGACATTTGTATCCTGGAAGAGGAGCCGAATTGGCTTCTAAGTCCCCTCGAGCAAGTGCCGAAACGCAAGCCTGACTTGGGAGGGAAGGCTACATAAATTGAAACATGTTAGCAATTAAATTAATTAAAACGTCAGATAAAACCCTACATCGCGAATCACCCGGTTCACCTGCATTAGATCCTGCATAGTAAAACGAGCATTTTGGGTCTCCAAGATGGAGCCCAGCTCAAGAACCTCAGGATTAACGGCAAGAAGGGGATTTTCGCGATTCAAGGCAGCGCTATTCTATTAAATTAATAGAATTAGTATTAACTAAATTAAATTGAATCACTGTGACTTACCCTGGCATGTGCAAACTTTGGAAAGGGTGTGAAAGCACCAGTTGACTGCTCTGGAAGTCGTAAGCGACCTTGAGCATCCGCCAAGAGTACCGGTTGGAAGGTACTATCGGGGGAACGCTCAGGAGCGGACTTTGTGGCGACCTTTGTAGCTCGTTTGGGGATGGACACCCGTTTAATCGAACGACGAGGCAACAAAGCTGCAATAGAATTAAATTAAAGAAATAAAAACGAAAAAACAATGATGAAATGTTACCGGAAATTGAAGATGTCGTTTTTGGGCGTTTTGGAGGAGGCGCAGAGTCCTCCTCCTCATCCTCATCTTCTTCCTCGTCTTCAGACTCTACTTCATTGGAAGCAGAGTCGTCTTCAGAAACAACTACTTGTCGGGATTTGCCTTTTGCAAGAGTTGGTGCGACTTTCCTCGAACGAGGAGGGAGTCGAACTCTTTTATAAACCATGGCAGTAGGAGTAGGCTGAGAGGCTTTGGAATCTTCGACTACCTTGACGGTAGTTTTGGGTTTAGGCACTTTCCTGTCCACGGAAACCTTGGTAGAAGACGAAGCTCGAGGAGCTGAAATGGTAGACGGGAACCCGCTTAAGAGCTCATTATCTGAGTCTCTTGAATGAGTGGAACGAGGAGAAGAAACTGCAATCAAATTAAATGGATAAAAATCAGAAACCAATGAATTAAGTTGACACTTACAAAATGTGGAGGCATCAGCTTTGAGGCTCTCTAACTCCCGATTCCTTCTGATTAATCGAGGAGGAGCTACAGGTGCTTTGGAAACGGGGGACAAAGGCTTGATCTCCAAGGGTGGAGAAGGTGCACTAATCACCGACGCGACCGCCAATGAACCTTTGCCTCGTAACGAGGCAAAGACATCTAAATCCTTAGACGAAACCATATGCATCATTGCGCTTCCCTCACGAAAGCGTAAACAAAGTGGAATGGGAATGGCAGGGAATCGTTCGAATTTGAGAACACCCTGTAAATTAAATTAAATGAGAATAAAGTGAATTCAGTAGAAAAGAACACTTACTTCAGCTGAAGAACGATGTTCAGGGGGAATGCCCCATTGCTGCGTCAAATCGTCGCGAAGAAAAGCGGGTAGGCTGAGGGAAAGCGATTCAGCAGACAATAAGACCTGTTCCGCGAATAAAGGGCAATTTGCCCGACCCATCCAAAAGTCATGAATATAAATCTCGGAGAAACCATTAATATCAGTAATGAGAAAACGAGTAAAGGTGGCTACATACCAAAAAGGGAGCAGCCTCCTCAAAAACATTGTAAATCTCCAACTCCGTCGAAGGAGATTCGTTTACCAAATCCTGTAGGGTTCGAACCGCCATTTGCGCCGAACAAAATAGATCCAATCCAGACGCAACGGACAATGGACGCGATGTGTCGGAAGGGAAACAGAAAGGGACGAGAGAATGGGGATAGGAAAAGGCAGGGAAGGTTCCAGAGCCATCGTAGTCCGGAGAATTTGTGGAATCAACGACCGGAGGAGAGTAGTCTCCCTCCAAAAGACGCTTGAAAACAGCACTCTCGAAGAAGAGAGGAAGTGTTGATTTAGATGGGATACCCGCCAACATCATTTGAGCCTCAATAAGAGAGGTAGGAAGGAGGGTATTGGAATCAACAGCTCGAGTTTGACTCGAGGTTGAAGCCATTTTTATGAATGAGATGGAGGAAAGAAATAAAGGGCGAAAACGGACTTCAACGAAAAATTGTTGAACCCCGTGCCACGAACCAAGTAAATGTACACACTGATTCAGTGTGTACGTCAGAGCAGTTTTCCGTGAAATGGAAGCTCGTTCTGTGACGAGATGATAAAAAGATTGTGAATTAAAAATTTGGAAATGTGATACGAATACCGAAAAAGTATTCAATTCAAATTGAGCGCTAAACTACTGCGATTCGTAGCAAGCGTGTGAATAAATTGATAAGATGAGCGCTAGAAACCCATTTGAGGGCATCCAAATTGATTGGAGAGCACGGAGAAGTAGAGATCCAAACCCAGTGATTTACATTAAAAGGAGATATAGTCTTGTCGAATCAATCTAATAACAGATTGGGTATCCTTTCCCTATACAAAACTACGAATGACCGAGGACGGTCAAATTCTTTGGTTTGGGGGGGATGACACGCCTAAATTTTGGCTAGACGTCTATGTTGTGAATTGTGACATTTTCACGTATAGATTTGTATCAAGAGGACTGTAATTGAGACCCAGATTGACAGTCAAAGTCAATACTGAATCAGTCTAATAATTTGAAGGGACCATATACCCATACTACCACAAGTTGGTTAGTTTACCCATCCCTGATACTACCTACGGATAGCAGTCTACCTGTTTGTCAAGCAGGATTATACCAGACTCGGACTACATCCGAAGGATGACCATTCACGTATGACATACCAAGGGTATTCTTATTGGACCTTACACTGGCAGGAGTTTGGAAGAACTTACTCAAGTGACCATGAACCGAGGATTGACTCGAAATGACTTTCTAGAACTCAGGAATTATCAAATACTCCTTCTAGAACGAGATCATGCATTAATCTAAAAGACTGCGGTTTAGTCTAATAGACCAATCGAGTTGCATGGTTGAGGAAAATGACTAGAAGAACGATCGAAGTACTGCGAGGCTCCGAAGGCATATCAAATGAATGTCAAAGAGTCCTGACGTAGAAAATATTGAAGAATACAATTAAATGAATACTATGCGTAACTCCCTTGATAGAGTATAGGCACAATGGGTGTCTATTGAAAGAGAGAAGCAATTAGTTTAATCCAGATGAATCAGATTGATAGGATTAGAATCGAGGAGAGCTGATTTGCCTCCGGACGAGGTGACAAACGATCGAAGTAAGTGTTGGACCGCAATGACAGTTGAACACCATTCGAGTCATCCTCCAAAACAATTAAATTAAATGAATATTGAAGTACCTACCTATGTTTGGAGATATACTAGAATCTTGGAACCAATATGGACCAAATAAGGACATGTAGATTCAAATTAAATGGTATCTGACTGAGTGTAGAAGTTTCCTTGCGGTTCCGAATGTTTATTGTATTAAATTAATTGTACTATGCGACTCTATATTCTGTATGTATAAATAGCGATCCGATGTATCTGGAATACAAGTGATTTTGGGACGACGTTGCAGTGCTAATCCGTAAAAAGGAAAGACACACTCCCGCCAGACTGAAACCTCTTCGCTAGCAGCCATTCGGGCCCGGCACTTGTGAGTATAGGAACGTCGTGTTCTGCTCCTTGTGACTGCGAGAAGTCTATCCAGTTGTTGGGTATTCTTCGAACTTAGGATCAGTCGTTGGTTTTAAGGGCAAATCACGCTGTGTGGTTGTGCCAGCACATAGTTCTAGCCCTCTGTAGGGGTCTGTGTGTTTCGGTTTTAATTTACTAAACCCCCAATTCTTGATATACCCAAATGAATACAAACCAAAGCACAAATCGTGCTAAATCTACCTTGATCAAAGGAATATATCGAATCCTTAGAACGATTCAAATTGATTGATCAAAGCTTTGCGGAACCTTTGCCAACGCTACCCCTTGCTATTAAATAAATTTGATAGCAGTGAACTCGCATATTGTGTATTAGATTGGTTGGTTGGAGTGCCCATTAGATTCCTTCCTTTCTCTTTCACACAAAAACGAGGCAAGCTCGTTATCTGGAGCCCACCGCGGTATCTGACTATCACGTATGATGGGTTTCGAAGTAGTGGCTGGTTCCTATGAACGCGAATATATATCATACTGAGGGGCATATGTTTCAGAGACACACCATCTTTCTGAGGATTTGAGTATCGGTGGTTGACGGGATGAACGCGCTCGTCGTAAATCCAAGTATGAGATTCTCGGTGATATCGAAATTGCTCGTGGTAGGCCTTGGAGTACTGCTTGAGCCCTATGGAAGTACATGTGGTCAATGGAATCAATTGACGCAGAAGCAATAACATTCAGGATGCTCCGGTCTGTGTTGCTATCCTCACTAGAGCGTTTACAATACTCTATTGTCTCATCCTCGCTGTCAATGGCCCTGTCGTCGTCCCTATAAGAGTGCGGTAGAAAGTTGCATGCCCGCTGGAAGAGAATCAGTGTTTCGAAGTAACGGGAATATGAAGAAAGATTACCGGCGATGGAGCATATGATCCATGATGAGCAGGTTGTTCTTCTTCTGCATTCATTAGTATGTACCAACCTTCACTGTCGCGAGTGAAAGTTTTTGGTAAGATGTTGTTCATTTAGCCTCGTGTACAGCATGGGGCCATGACTTGGAATGGCACTTAAAGGAATTCGATGTGACATCATACTAAAGCGGCGCGACGGACTTGTTGTATCAGGTGACGGAGTTATAACAACTGATCCTGAGTAATCACGGATATTTTCATTCGTCCTTTCTTCCCTTCTCTCCTCGTTTGCAGTAGCTTTGCACTGGTGATTCCACGAGTCAAACTACGTGGTCTCGATATAGAATTCACACTACAAGCCGTGGGGAACTCGTACCATACAAGATCACGATGGGACAAGAGAAAAGACGACTCGGATGATACACGTCAGAGCTCATTTTGCTGCACTCACAGACTCTGGTTCAGGTGTAAAACCCAATGTCGAGCCCGTGGCGGGCCGCGACCTGGATCGCCTTGTACTCCTGGTGCGGTACGTCGTCAACGTGCTATTCAGAACCCAGCTAGGTTTCCCTGCAGAAGTCAACTTCAACGACCTCATCGCAAACTTGGGGTGTGCGAACTGTTCATTCTCCAGATCTACAGGCCGCCACCCGAGCTCTCGCTCTCTGCCTTCGTGATTGCACCAAACCCATAATTGATAGCCCCCATCCCTGGTATCCTTGTGGACATATATCGTCCCTAACATTCTGGGAGTTGCGGTCTCAGGAGGGGGAGCGTCGAGGTCGTTCGGCGATTGACTATAGTGCCAGGCAGTCTCTCCCTCGCTGTCATGCGACCTGAAACGATTTGTCTCTAATTTTGTCGGTCCGAACGAATCGTTCCTAACATCACTCGTCCAGGGATTTCCCCGCAAGAAGTACTTCGGAGGCCACGCCTGAGGCTCGAAGCTCACTAGGGTAGACCCCCTATCAGCATGTTTAGAGGAACCTAGCGGATGTCGGTATAGAATTTTACAAAGAAGATGGATCACTAACCAAGGATTTCAGTCTTCTTAAGAGCTCCTTTCTGTGGAGGGGGAGTCTTCGCTCGTCCTCTCGTCCTTCTGCACTCGGTTTCAGTGTTCCTAGGATCATTACAACATTGCATCGTACTGGCTTACGATTCTTCCACATCTGGATCGTGATAAATCTTTTGGATAATCCCATCACCATCCAGATAATAGCTGCAGTAGTCATATGTTTGCTTTCTCCACCATCCAGAAGGCTATGAATGGTCAGCATTACTTCGCACTCGAGGTTTGACCAATCGATGAACAGTAGGACTTCCTGTCTCCGAGTCTGTGATGCTATCTGGTTCCATCAGGGAGCGGTTCTGAAACCCCGTAAATGCACGTTATACTTTCTTTTCCACGTGAGCTTCTTGGCATATGCAACACACGAGAGTGTTCCAACGTTTTTGATGCCCACGATAGGAAATAAGTGCGAAATGGTTAGAAATTTGCCCAGTGACAGGAGGTGACAGGTCGCTAATTTCGCTCCATCATGCAACGGGCCATCAGGCCCCACCATTTGCTCCTCAACCTCTTTCGATCGTTACATTCACTTGCGAGTTCAACTCCCTCGCGAAATGGCTTGCCGTCGCAGAGCTAATTCGGTCAATTCGGATTTGCAGCCATGTTGTTGTCAAGACTGTCTCAAGCAGAATCCGGAGGGATTACTGATCCCCCAGTCTGCTCTTACTGAGCATCGGCATCGGGAACGTCTCAGGAAAACTCTACTAAGTAGGGTGGACAGGTTGCAAACAGTGTCGACATCACCTAGTGTAGTACCAGAGGCCTCAGGGTCTGACATTGCACCCGGGTCATTCTTGCATGGAGATCAATCATCCCCTTCCAAAAATCACCTTCTCGGCGGAAGCAACCATTCAGATCCAAATTGCTTTGGCAGAAGTCATAATCCTAGCCCAGATCCAAATGATGAAGATACCGGCGGCTGGTTACAATCCGTGCTATCCGAAACCCACATGCACTTGGAAATTCTATACGACTGCGAAACTCGGCTCACTTTCATCAAAGATCCCTCTCCGAATATTCCTTATGTTTTGTCAGATCATGAGAGCCTTTTACAGGTGAACGTTGGCGACTTCGCTCTGAAGACCACTATCATAGCCAACAGCCGCTTTTTGGACACCGAATCAAGGTTATGCAGCTTGATTAAGACGATCTAAACATCGCCGCTGGAACAGCGCTTAGTTGGGGATATAGACGTAGAGGAGGAGCTTCGCGAAGCGTTGGGGAAACTTCATCGCATAAAGGAGAGGCAATGGGTATCTCAGGCGTATCCTGACGGACGTGATAGATCCACCGTTGACAATAGTATGTGTTGTGTACTATCCTATCATTAGTCGCAGTGACTAAATTCACCTAGGTCGTCGCTTTTCTCTGAGGCAAATGACAGATGCAACTCCCATCCTTGTAGCCGCTTTGATCATGCATATCAAATTCCGGAGTCCAGTTCGTCATATGCGGGTAAATCTTGCGCTGTTGCGTGGGATCATCAAAGGGTTTGTGAGAAGAAGCGGGATTCAATCAAGAGTCCCATCACAGATCCCGAAGGATATTCACACTATCGTCGACCAGTATGAACTCAATCCTACTCCTACATGTTGCGATTGCATGCCCAAAATGTTATGCTTTATCCCCGTTCACCAACGAGGCGCTCAAACAGGCTGAGGATGCACATGAAGTGCACCTTCCTTTCCCTGTGTGTGAAGAGAGATTAGACCCGGATTCACCGCCGTGTGGAACTACATTGTGGCACACTCGTCATAGTGGAAAGCGTTTGTTCATGGCCCCAATTCGAAAGCAGGTTTTCCAGGATCTAAAAGTGTGGATTGGGAGAATCTTAGCTGTGCCAGGCATCGAAGATGCTATCGCAGAGCATCAGCAATGCCAATCACCAACAAGCTCCAACACAATGACAAGAGACTTTGTGGATTCAGGGGCGTAGATGGGCAGCCGTTCGTAACATCTCAGAAAGGAGCTGCTGAAAATCCGGATCTTCGACTTGTAATGAGTCTTGGATTTGATGGGTTCAATCCGTTTGGGCAGCGAGAAACTCATGCATGGTAATTCTGTCACTACCGGAGCATCTTCGATATCGACAAGAGTATATGTTTCTGGTTACTGTCATGCCTGGAAAGCCCAAACAACACCACGTCAATCATACCTTACGGATTCTGGTCAAGCAACTGCTGGCCTTCTGGGAAGGTGTGTACTTCACGCGTACAGCACGTCATCAAATCGGTCGAAAGGTTTTTGTAGTCCTGCTCCCCATAGTTTGTGACACGGAAGCTGCAATTCAGATTTCAGGCTTTGCTGCCCACAATCATACCTACTTCTGTAGACGATGTCTCCTACCAATCAGTGATATCCATAACCTTGATCCAGAAACTTGGATCATGTGGGACCCTGTGAAACATAGGGAGCTGGCTTTTGAATGGAAGGTTGCTTCACGGGCATGATGCGAAGCAATCTACAAGGCTCATGGAATACGATTCACGGAGTTAATGGAATTACCGTATTGGGATCCCATCCTTTTCACTGTCATCGATGACATGCATTTCGGATACCTTGGCCTCTTCAAAACCCACCTTCGTGAAATATGGGGTATTAATCACGAGAAACTCAGCGGGGATGGACTTCATCCAGACTTGTTGAACAAAAAACGCGTAAAATTGTCCAAAGCAAGCTTACGCAATTTCTTGAATGAGATTCGAGAAAACGAGACGTCTTTGGGAGCTCTCTTGCTGGAAGAGAAGAAAGGGGTTCTGTGGTACCTGTGCTTCTGGCTCAAGCTACGTACGGGACTTAGTAGCAAGCAGCAAATGGTAGACCAGATTCTGCACTGGGTGAGTCTTGAATGTCACGACTACTTACGTGCACTGAAGCTCGTACAGTGTTCGACCCTCGAATTTGAGCAAGTACCTACAATCCCTCCTCTTGACTATAATCAGGTCCCGGATGGTTGGGAAGGTAACAATTCGGCAGAGAAGGTGAGTATTTTCTTTTGCACATGTCTGTTGGCTCTGAAGCTTCTCTTACATCAGCGCCACACCATAGCGGAAGTCCCAGAATCCCAAGCTTCTGATATAGTATGTATGTTTTGTCCTCACGACTGACTCACATATTGATTGGTTTGAAAAGTCCTTCAACTCGAATCCTCCATCAAGAGCTCCATCGGTGGCTTCATCGGTGGCTTCATCAATCACTTCATCGATCGGTTTATCTGTCATAAATGCTGATGCTCTACCACCCGTATCGCGGCCTCCGCCGCCATTCGTCTATAGCAAAGACTCGGCATTTGAAAAACTCAAATCCAAATTACTCAACCTCGACGCTAGACCCCCTTCACTCGACAAGAAAAAAATCATCCTTCGGGCGTTGTGTCAAGATCTGAACATACTTTACAACCTAGATGACTCGAATAAAACCCTTGCTGGACGACTCATGGTCTATGTACGTATATTTTCTGAGCTGCATTGAAACACTTCTGAGTATCTCGGAACAGCGTCAAGAAAACGGAGCCAAGAATGACGAGGATCCTTCGCAGATGCGATACAGTCAATTCAAACGGATTTTTGAGGGGGACAAACCCCCGAAGTCCATAATGATGTCTCAATTACTCAAACATCTTGAGAAGCTTTGTATAGAGTATCAAATACCCCCATTTGATTCCAACGTTTCTGGTGGCACATTCAAAAAGGAGGAATTAGCACAACGGTTGATATTGTGGGTCAGTTAACATTGAGTATCCTTGTGTTCGAGCCGTCGTTCATTTGCTTTCTTAGCGTCAAGAGCATCGTGACAGCTTTCTCAAACAAACTTCCCCTCGGAATGTCATTGGGAAGGATCTTCTAGGAGAAATTTGGGCGGATATGGCACGTTCTGTGCTTCCCAGTTGGATTCAAGCACCACCTGCAAGATGGGGTATTCCCTCTGCAGGCAAGCTTAGTGCTGATGAATACAAAGTTGTATGCTCGATCTCTCTGGTTGTGACCCTGATTCGAGTATGGGGCTATAGCAATAAAGAGTGACCACAATCTCGTCATCTTCAGATGATGTTGAACTTTTTGGAGCTGGTTTGTGGAATGCATATCATATTTCTTCGTGAGACATCTCAGAGCTCAAGAGCCTACTACAAAGCCCACATCCAGAGCTATCTACGTGGAGTCCTAGAACTATTTCCTGACGTCACTCTTGCATCCAATCACCATCTTGCGCTTCATATTATAACTGACTTGGAAAAAATGGGCTCAGGACATGCTCGAAGTACCCCAGTGTTTGAGCGTATCAACCATTTGTTGCAAGAGATTAAAAAGAATGGGCATTTGGGTGAGCTCATATTGCATTCCTTCTTATTTTACTTATGGTGTATTCTAGGTGAGGTTGAAGTCACAATGATGAACTCATACGTCCAGTTGCTACTGACCAACTATCCAGAACTCCAGGAAGAGATCGGTGAAGCCTTGACAATGCTGACTGACATTGATCGTGAAGATCATTGCGGTATCTTTGCTGGGACTGATTTATCGGCCTGGTCCAGTACGGAGTTTACCGAGACCCCTACTCATATCGATAGATCGACTCTGAATCGCATTGTGCAGCAATTGTGCAGGATGTACAGTGTTCAGTACTCACACTGGGAAGGCAAGGTAGCCCGACAAGCTCATATTCTAGGGGGGGCGGCACTTGGACAGGTGATTTACTCCACGGGGTATCGTCAAAATTCCATCATATTCCGCGACGAAGGAAAAATACTCGCAGGAACAATCGATAGGCTCATCAAACACTCTCATCCTCATCCTGTTTCCCAAGACGTGATTGTGACTATGTTTGTTGAGGCTATTGTCATGGAACCAATCAGCAAAGAGGATGATTTGTATCGGTCACTCAATTGCGGGTGGTTATGTTTCCAAACGCCAATGACAAGGAGAATTTCGACTGTGCCTTTGTCAAATGTGATCTCGCATTTCGTTAGGACAGATTTGACATTACTGGTCAAAGGAAATTCCGTCACACATGTGTACCCTGTCCCAAAGGTATGTGTATATATGATCTTCTTGATTGTTGTATCTAATTCTGACATTTGGACACAGGTTTTCCGCGACAATGACTCGGGAATGCCGACCCCATTGTAGTCAGTACGAAGGATTTGAAAATATTGTCAGCCCTGGTGGCAATTCACTCCCTCTCCCTTTCATATAAGTGACCGTCATTAATCACCTTTGTTAAACAACAGTGTCTCTCTTTGGATATACTGTCGGTCATTGTTTTCAATCCCACGCTAAGAACACAAAGACCTCTAATAATGATTATATATATAAATTACCGGTTCTCAAACATGAGCCTTTCATTCCTCTTGCTACTGACGCCCTCGATCATGAGTTCAGTAAGTATGATGATTGCCAACTTAGCTGCTGCAACTTGCTTCGACAGAAAGTTCGTGTAGTATCAGCCGAGTGCACCGAGCGTTTGAGGCTACTAGAAGAACAGGCCTTACTTAAATACGAAGAAGTCGTTCAGCTCTGTGGAGCAGTTCAACGGATGCGTTCACAATGTGTGAGTTTCATTTTCTCATAATCCTATCATTCGCTAATTACACAATACAGGAATTAGAAGCTAATACGGAACGCTTAAAATGTGATTTTCACGACGCGACGGTCTCGGTGCATCGACTTAGAACGGAGATTTTCGCTTTGCTTGGCTGTGCCACAGCCGATGACCGATTCGAGAAGGCAATCACAACGAACAAAGTATGTGTCTATACATGCCAGTCCTTGGATAAACATTTCTCAATCATCAATTGTAGGCGAAATACTTTTGGTCTTTTGTGGATGAAGTGAAGTTAACTGTCGAAAGGTTGAACAATGTCACCATACGTCGTCTTTCCTTACGTCTTTTGTCCCTATCACCAATGAGACATTCTGTAGTCTTTATCGTCCCCGCCAGCCTCAGATTTGACTATGTTGCTGATCGAACAATCTCTGAAACTTGACGAGTTAGCAGGGAATTTGCACCCTGGTGTTGTCGAAGAACGTCTCCGAAAACAGTGCAATCAATTGTGTAATTTGGCGTGCACACTAAAGTGATACTTAAAGTTGTTTGTTGGAATTCAATAGCACTACTGTCTCGAAGGGAAGCAAACGTTGGAACAAATACATTGACAGAGCTAAGCTTATTCAAAACAACGTGGGCTGGAGTGATCCACAAGACATGAATATACATTATCGTGAAGAAAACATCATACATTGCGCATGAAGTATTGCATTCCGAAGGTTATTGCTAAGAAAACTGCGGCTCCTAAGTCTCTGATGAGAGAAATTATAGACCACACAACAAAGGTGCAGATGAAAGTCCCTGCGAGAACTGTGGCGTCGACAGCAGCTTGTAAGATAACCATACCCTGGTAAGAAGATAAGCTGACTCAATCATGGACAAAATGTTAGGTCACTTACAGTCTCATTGGCCTCACCCGCGGTATAGCGTTGGACAAAAGCATACGTCGCAATGCTTGGAACCACGAAACCAACAGCAACGGAATGGGGCTGACTATGGAACATTACTGATAGCTTCCAGAGCATTTTTGATACAAAGAACAAGTAGTTCAAAACTCCTGCATTTAACAGGATTTTTTGAAGTCCGAGATCAATTACCTATACTGAAGACGTGAAAGGAGTGTGGTATTAAGGACGATTCCATCACTCACGAGTTTATTGAAATGATCACTACCAATTCTGCGAATACTCTGGTACAGTGAAAAGATTTTGTTAAAAGAAGGATCCATCTGTGTATACGGCGACCGTCTTGACTGAGAGCTGGGTAGAGCGTCAAATGAGCTGGGGTTCTGATCCGGCTCCAGATCCTGGAAAATTGTCACTCAACGATCTTTGACCACTATGAATGACAATACCAGAGATTCTTTGTTGATTGTACCCATTGCATGTGGATCCATACCGGATTGACTGCGTGAAATGATTTTTGAGGTGCGACGCTTCTCTTGGAGGTGGGAATTGAAAAGACAGTTGAGAAGACCTCGTGTAGGACATGTGCATGAGTATTAAACATGTCTCGACTATCAACAGAATGCAAACGAAAGCCTTTGGATCAGTTAGAATATATGTATCAGTCATATACTTACCGGATAAAATAAGTATACGTGAAAGACTGTGATAACTCCAAAGTACTAAGGGAGGATTGGAGGCATCAGAGTGCGAACAGCTAAAACAATTCCGATTTGAAAACAGCATCTTGAAGCATGCTTGTAGATTCATGCGTCTCCGAACCCTTCCGCACTAGACCACACAACCTCTGTAGGACCCCTGTTCCTATTTCGTGACCGCTGCGCTCTGAACGCACTGGAAATTTGTAGGTGAAGACCTAGACCAGTGCCGATTGTAAAGCCGCTCGTCCGTTGTATTTTGAATTCTGTGAAGTTTGGTGAAACATGCATAATACTTGACTTGGGACGAATGCACGAACTTGTTTGTACACCCCCCAAAAAGCGCGCAATGGAATACTTCTTCTATTACCTGGTTGGTCGGAGCGTAGTAGTGTTGATGAACGACTATGGAATCTGGAAAGCAACACTCGAGTTATACTCGATGATGCTCAGAAGAGGTCAAAAGGATAGTGATAGTGACAGTCACGGTCCACCTAATCATGTAACATTCATAGACGTGACACGATACGTTCTTTCCCAACCACTATCATACTCAGTTTTCCAGAGTCAAACTCTGGACTAGCTGCTTTCCTATCTTCCTACTAGGGCTAGTATGTGAATGACGATGACGACGATGCATACGAATCAAGAGGCGCCTAGTCTTGCTCGGATTTTGCACTTTACCGGCATCTCTTCCTGAGAACTCGAATTGGTCTTCACCAACCCAGTTCGACAGAGTCAAACTCTGTAAGAACACAGACTCCTTCTACAAAACCTCTCCCAGTCGCTGGTATTCAGCTCTATGGGCCTGATTGTCTACTGGTCAAGGAAGAAGAATAGCCGCTATCAAGGACGTCACTATTTAGACCCAATCTCTGCCGGATTCTGGACTCTACCCCTCTCTCAAATTTAACGTTCGGAAGAATGAGAAGTTTGGAAGGGCTGGTACTCATGAGATAGTACGGTTGAGACCTTTGAATATAGAAGGAAATAGGTGCGAAACGTTACTTCATGTATATCCATTTACTCAAGCTCTTCATCATAGCGTCACTTATCTTCAGGGTGTTACAATCACTTCTTTTTCATCTTATCTTTCTCCTTATCCCTTGTCTTATCTTTTATCTTTTGTCTTATCTTCTATTTCCCTTATCCTATATCTTGTCTTATCTTGTCACCTGACCTATTATTTATGCTTACTGATATAACATGCGCTTTTCATTTACTTATATTAAACACAGCAGTCTCACAACACGTATACAGCATGGCGATTGAGCTTTCATTACTTACACATTGCTTTACTTATGTTCTACTCATGTTTACCACTAACCCAGGGTGTTGGGCATTACTAGGGCAAAGGGTTGTTCACTAGTATATAGGCTGTAGCTATTTGCTGTATTTCCTTAGCTTTGATCTCGTCTATTCTACCTGGTTTAGCCCAGAACTCTGCTTGCTTCCTTTATTGCTTCACTATCTGAGGTTTTCTTGAGTGTGACACCTGGTGACACCCGTTACTAGAACCAGTCGCTGACACAGGGCTCGGTAAATATGTCCGTGAATCTCAACCTTCGGCTTAACCTCGTCGTTAGTGAGCTTGTTCTCAGACTCATTTCATCAGTTTTGAACATTTGCTCAAGTGTCATTCTTCATTATCTCCTTCTGAGAGAGAGGAAGGTACCAATGAAGTTACTTAGTAGTATTGCTTATCAAAAGCTTCAACAATTGTCAAAGAACCCCATACGTAAAGCGTGAGGAAAAGCAAACACCGGGCTTGAGCCCATGCTCTCAACGTTGAATATAGACACAGAATGAGAGTGCTATCGGTCATTTTTATGCGAGAAACGTGCATTGTTGACTATTCAATGATCATCTGTTGCATTCTAACTTCCATATCAAGGATTCACTCAAAACGAAAATTTCCTAGAAGTAATACCGTCATATGGTTTCCTTTTTAAGCTGGGAGAGGTTGCTTTGACTTCTTTTAACTTTATGTATTCGCAATCTATGTCTCTTTTCTGCTCCCTCATGAACATGATGTTCATTCTTACTCCAATCTGACCCGTGCCGATAATGAGTATTCAGACGTCTTATGAGACGCAAATTCATTCAAAGGACAATCACCCTCGTCCTTCACGAGATCGTTGGTGATGTCGTCGAAAGTCTGCCTCTATCTGATCCCATCAGCATAGCACTGCTTTAGAATAGGTCCCAATTTCCCCCACTTGCTGAACCTCATCCTTATTGTCACTGGCTGCTCACACTCAATTTTTCATACTTCCTGATTTGCATAACAAACCTGTGTCCTGCCAGAGCATCCATTATCACTGCACACGCCGTCATCGCCTGTTCACGCGCTTCCGCTTGTCTACAGGGTATCACAATGAGGGAACTTCCGGTTACAAACCGTTTGTTAGTGGCGGCGCTTTTTCTTCACGCCCGATGCTAGGATCTCTTCAATCCGTCTCTGATAGTCCTCGCTTTCCGCCTCGTTCTAACGCGTCTGCTTGCGGCGCTCACCAAGATCTCTCACTACCACTCAGATATCAACATTGACGTCTCCCATTCCTCCTTTCCAACCAGTACTCATGCGTCGATCTTCCGAAGATCTACGGCGGCGCTATGACATGCGAGCGATGCAGGGGATTTCAGATGCAGATGGGCAGGGTTATCTTTATGCTTACATCGATGATGATGAATGGAAGGTGGGCTTGACGAACAACTTTGTTCGTCGTCAGGAGGAGTGGAATAGGAGTTGTCCTTGCCCATGGAGAACATGGCTTTTGCCTATCCAGGTCGCAAACAGACGGAGAGCCGGTGAGTTTCTTGCCTTTTGTTTTTTATATCTCTCATTGGGCTGTAGAGGCACTGGTGCATCTTTTACTCGAAATGGAGTGTCTTGACCGCCCGCGAACCTATTGCCGATGTTGTACGTATCCGAATTCTGTCCTTAGTTCACAGCGCTACATGTACAACATACAGGCCGACGTACGCATATCGAGAAGTTTGTTTTCTCCGGCGACTGGCATGTCGTCTGGAGCACAATTGTTTATCCTATCCTTTTGAGGGCCGCTGTCTCGTGAAGGTACGCGATTGTTCACTTTTTCATAATGTTAGCTGACATTCCAATAGTTAAAGTAGATCATAACACATCAATACTTCTGTCTTATAGTTGTCAATCTTGAAATTGGAAGCAGTCTCTGAACTCCTAGGCTTTGTATACAATATACAGACTAAAAGATGCGTGTTTGTGTCCTTTGGTGCTAATGAGTGAATACTCAATAGTTACTCAATAATCATGTAGACGTGAAGAATCGGTGAAACAAGTCCTCAACAGAATGGACACAAAAATACTCAAGCCACTCGAAGGTCCCCAAAATCCTCAAGCACTTCAAGATCCTCAAGCACTATGCTTGTACATTCTTAAATAGATAATATATCATGTTCTTCGCTGTCTCCAGACAACGCCCGACATGTCATGTATACCAACATCCCCGACATCATTGTTGCCACGCGTTCCGACCTCTCGACATCAGCGACGTACCGACATTTTGACGTTCCGACCTCGGCGACTTCTGGACGTTCAGACATTCCGACATCGGGTACGCATAACCTCTCTGAGGTTACGATGAAGATCCTCACCGTTTTCACGAGGCAGTAACTTATATGATATTTTGATTTTCCCTGGTGAAAGTATTGGGCAAATATTGAAAATAGCATCTGGATTTCGTCACGATTCACTCTGATAGGATAGTTTTAATAAAGTCTCAATATTTAGCGTGATACGAATAAGAATGTTCTACACGAGGATAATAAGAAAAAACCCGTTAATGTGAAGTGGATGTGATTCACAATATTCTCCCAATATTAGCTCTATAGAATGCTTCCGTTTATGGAAGGATTGTTTGAAAATTTCTCTGTTCGGAAATTGTGGTGTTTATGTACCAAACCTCCCTTTAAACCCAGCCTTTTCTCAACGAGGAAACGGATCGATCCCCGCAGTGTTTCCGAATTTCGGCCCGATTTTTTGCCATTACTATTCCAAATATTCATTTTCTTTATGCTAGAACGCATTTCCGCTTTTTCCGAAATTTCGGCCTGAGATTTCGCACCTTTCCATGATCAATTTTTGTTGACAGTATAATTTACTTTGTTTCTAAGCTTCGGACCGCTTTTTTTTCCATATGTTCCACTTCTGTTTCGAGTTTTTGAATATTCAGGTAATGTTTCATTGTAACAACTATTATTGCTTCATTCCGGCCCAATTTGGCCGATGTTTTTGCTTATTATTGATTACTAATTATTCCATTCCATGTTTCCGACCTTGCTCCGATTTTCCCGTCATTTTATTGACATTATCTCAAGCTTGCTCATTAGCACTTCCATTCACTTATCTGTTATCATTTCTATTTA